CTCTTTCGAGCTTTAACCTTTCATCATCAGGATTTTGAATGACTGTAATGTTATGACTCTAGCCCTTTGTTACTATTTTATAAATTGGGTAGATACGTACTTGGCGTTAGTTAGGCCTTGGCCCCCCCTTAAGTCCTAAGCCCATCCACCTTGCTAGGCGGGGGTAGTGGGGGTGTATGTTACTCCACTGCAATGTACATATATGTACTTCAAGACACTATGTCCATTTGTTATAAACAGTCTCCCGACATTGCACGTTCAGTTGCTTTCTCTCAACACGCCAACAGCCCGCGTTTGATTGAAGACGAAACTTTCAATGACAGTGACATTATCAATAACTTGATAGATTATGAAGCTGGACGAGAAGAACCAGATTCTTTGAGAGCGGATGAAATATATGCAGGAATACAGCTTTCCAACTAATTGGAAAAACATTTTCAAAATAGATACCGATTCCGAAAGGAGTATGAAATTTCAAAAAGAACTTCAATCATGCATATCTGGTTATCGTGACATTTACAAGCTAATGACCAACCCTTCGTCGTAAAAATTTATCCCTTACTTTATGGTGCCAAAAAATAAGTCAATTGAAATTGTATTTTCAAGTGACTAAAGAGATTTTGAGCTTATTCATCACAGGATGATGAGCGCTTTGGATTACCATGAGTAGCTGTGAATTATCCATGAGCATTTTTTGAAAACTTCTCCATGCATACAATGAAAACTAAATTTTTTAAAAATGTTTCCATGTGTAATTTAACTATTAATTTTGTCATGGAAATAATTTCTGATGAATTTTGTAAATAATTGGCGTATTTTCTAAGTGCTACTTTTTTATGCGGTATCTCTCCACCACATAAAAAAATTCTGCAGTATTTCGACGAATTTGTTTGTTATAGGTACGAATTTATGAAATTTTCGAATATTTTTGTGCCATTTTTTTTATGCGGTCCTTATCTCCCACACAAAAACCGGTTTAACTGTATACTGTATTACATGGAAATCTATCATAAAAGAGAAAATGAGCACACCCTCCTGTGAATCCCCCCCCCCTAAAAAAACAGTAGTAAAACAGTTTTTCAGCAGAAACCCATTTTTTTTTCTGCTGTTAGGTAAGCAAATTTAACTTTCTGTATTCCATATTCCATATAATTTTACTTGCATAATTTAAATTCTTAAACTTGACTTTAAATTTTTGTCATGAACTGCAGTAAGACTTCGGTTGCATTGCTATCCCACTCTGATTGGAGGCTCATCTTTACAGATCTACGTATACCACACACAAAATATCCGAACTCCTGTGTCAGCCAATCAGAATGCTTCCTTTCACTTAAAGGACTTTGACAAAATTTCCTGAATTCTTTCTACTTAGGAACTTCGGACGTTTCCTGCAACTGGATTGGCTAGGCTCGCTCCGCCCACTTCACTGATCTCTGCAAATGTGTGCTTTTTTTCAAGCTTTTAAGACAACATTACTAATTTATTGTTATTTTCTCACCCGAAACATAAATAAGGGGTAATTTGCTAACGTTGATAGTTTATTAACGTTACCGAATCGTTTATTGAACATTATTTAGCGAAATAGTACATTATTTCGTATAATTTATTTTGAATTATTTTACTACCAATGATCTTGACACAACTGAGCATTTTCGTTTCTACCGAAAGAAAGTGACCGCTGTAACCTATAGGTTATAGTCACAGAGTAGTGATCAACATATCATGAGTTCGAGCCCCAGTGCCACAAAAGAGCCGTCGTTTAGAGGGGCGGCTCAACGTTAAATCCATCTGGCTCAAAGTCCTCCCGTGGGTGTGGAGCCGTAGTGCGAAGAGTTCCCGCTCCGGTGTCACCCTTGTCACTTTGTGATGGTTCTATCCGCAAATATACTAACACCTTAGGGACTCTTCCGGGGAAAAATAAATTAATTCAACCATCCTTCACCGACCAAGAAAACGTGATTATGTAAATGAAGTATATTATATAAATTCTGTTTTCGCGAGTTCGTGAGTTGGCAAGTAGAAGTTAACATAGAGTCTGCGAGTTAGTTGTTAGTTGAAGATTGAAAGAGAGCGGAATCAGTTAGAGGTCTAGGAGTTGTCCAGGAAAAAGATTACAGAGCTTGGATCCAACGACATTGATCAAGCCCGATAAGGATCACCTGCAAGTTTCCAGTGTAAAATCCGATGCATAAAAAGTACAGGTATTGTGAGCTTGATTAATTAATAGTTAGCTTATTAGTGTGCGACGTAGTTATATTTGAGCGTATTTAAGCTGTCTTAGATTCAGTTGAGGATCCGTAGTAGTGTTATAGAATCTCACCTCCGTGCTCTACTATTTAATCACCTACCTTAATTAGATTGTTATTGTGTCTGATTGATATTTTGGTAACAATAAATTAATTAGATTGAAATCATGTTTGATGATCATTCAGTTTCTCCCACACACCTAGCCGGGTTTACAGGTAGACAAGGGGGGGGGGTTCAGAGTCAAGCAGGAATCTATCGCTATTACAACTTGACCATATTTCAAAATGCCGAGGTCCGTCTCCAGTAGCCCTCGTGTTGCCTTATATTTCGCTAGCAATAAGCACTCGTTTGCACACTCGATCAAAAGAAATGGAGAGTTGCTCAAGAAAGGAACGCTGGATAGGCGATAGTTGCTCAGAAAGGAAAGTTAAAGTGTAATTATAAGAGTGATCAAAAAGCTCTTTCAAACTTTTCAAATTTAACGAGATTAACCGAGATTATACTCAACACCCCGAAAGAACATTGTCCATTTATTTGAGATTTAAATCTCCATTCCGGCGTACTTATCAAATAACGGCCTATGCAGGTCGATGATTCTCAATTACGAGAAAAGCATTAAAACTCGACGCTCGTTATTTGTTTCGTTCGCTCGCTGGCAAGAATTAGAAACCGCCAATACGATTAATCAATATTAATCTCGGAATGATCGATAACAGCTCCGCCTCCAGAAAATGAATGACGCCACTGAAAAAGCAATAACACTAAGTGAGGAGTTTAATTTTGTTTAAAATATCACTGTGCCGAGCGGGAAGGATAATCGATAGACGGAAAATAATCGCAAGATGTAATCGATACGCAACTCGCAGTTGACAAGCGAAGGAAAGGCTGGGTTACTTCGCTTGATTCAAAAGTCGGAAGAAGTAAACTTTTCATTTTGAGCGATACTACTGTTTTAAATGTTTATATATGTGTAATGAATATTGTCACGTCAGTTTATGAATAATTCAGCATTTTCTTGCTCTTAGACATGTTTATTTTTAAAATTGTGTTCCCTCGACCCCTATTTTGGTATTCTTTTTCATACACCAATCAGTTGGGTGAAAGGAAAATATTTTATTTCAAAAAAAACTTCTCAGAAGTCGTGTCTTAAAAACGTGATGATTATATTTTACAGGCCATCTTATTAGCTCTATAAAAATACCAAGTTTATTATTTTCAGTTCACTAAAACAAAATCTAAAAGTGTTTTAGTGAAAGCAGATGCCATTACTTTAAGAAAGACGTCATACATTAAAACGCGTTTTATACTCAAAATGTGTTTTTTTCAAATACTCAAACGGAGCCAGCGATCGCTCAAAAAGTTTTGAAAATAACTGAAATTTTTTGTGTATGTTCTGTATAATAGTAGAAGTGTTTTAACGTTCATGTTTATTAATTATTGTTTTATGACAAAATTTACAGCCCCGTATGTGAATATAATCACTGTTTTTTTAAGCAGTTTCATATAATAAAATGCTCTAGTTTTTGTAAAAATTAAAATATCTCTTATCCTGAAGGTCATTTCAAAAATGAACAACATAGCAACACATCAAAAATGAAAAATTGAAAATTTGTTCATAAACTTTTGGTACAGAATGGGCCGTGTTTATGTTATTTTTTGTAAATTGTTACCCATTTTTTCCCATTTTAGAAATAATAATTTCTTTTTCTCTTCTTAATTTTAGCATATTTTTCTTAATATGTACTAAACACAAATCCTCATATCTTAATTTTAAAAAAAAAAAAAAAGTTGTCGCAAGTATTTGGATACCGTAAACATGTGCCAACGAAATGTTTCAAAAATTGCTTTGCCTTTAAAAGCTATCTAAATATATAATATTATTAATTTACAAATAACGATCTATAATGAATCTACTAGACTGACCCATTTATAATAAAGTCTGTTTCAGAGTAACATGTTCCCTCCCCCCCCTTTATCTCAGTAAGGACACGGTAGCCTAATGTGGTCATGGTCAGACTCGTGAACAGCGTGTCATGAGTTTGACTCACTGTGTAGAGGGCTGATGCACGTTAAATCTGTTGAGCTCAATGATGACCCGTTGGTGTGGTGTGGAAATTCGGAAAGAGGGGTGATACAAGCTCATATATGCCGTTCTCTTCACTTAACCATGATTCAAAATTACGAGGTCCTTTGCCAATAGCCCTCGTATTTCTTTCAGGGGCGTTAATATATGATTTCCTATTAGGCATTTCAGTTTAAAATATTTCTTTTCTTGCGCACGTGTACCATTCATATACTTATGCATCTATGGAAAATAATATTAGTTTATGCATAATAGTATTTCTAAAATGATTTCATGATTAACTTGTATTTTCATTGCTTTCAAAGCTTCTAAAAAGATTGAAAGTTCTTGGAAAAGAAAGAAATTTTTTTTTGTTCATACTGCACAACTATCTGATTTAGTAAAAGTAAATAGGGGTAAGGAATACTAAGTTATTGTTTATATATATATAGTATATTGTGTTCAGATATAGTAGTGTATTATCAGATATAGTATATTGTGTTCAAATTCTCAATCGTTAATAAAATACTTTCTATTCATCCATTCAAGTTCAAATACATTTTTTAAAACTTGTAGTAGAGGACACCAGTTTTTCAAATATTAATTCATTAATTTAATTAAAAAATGAATCAATAGTTCCAAAAAAAATAATAGTCCAACACCATATATAAAAAGTGAAATCGCTCGTTATGCCTCTGTAGAGCTACAGAAAGCGCGTTGAACTTCTAATTCAAAGGTCGTGGGTTCGAATACCACCTGGGATGGCATAAATTCTGAGAATGTGATTTCTTTTTTTATTAAAAAATTAAATTTGATCAATGAATAAATAGTAACAAACAAACAAAAAAATAGTCCAACACCTTATATAGAAAGGAAGGAAAACTACAAGGTGTTTGCACTTTTCCATTTGCAATTGTGATTCTGTCATATGTATATACATATTTTTATATAATTGTATATATTTAATAAAATAAAACTAAAAAAAATGTTTTTCTTGTCCACCTAAGTCGGAATTGACTTAAATTTTTTTTATATTACTTGTTTTGTATTAAGTTAATAGAAACACAGATTAACCCTTGAGTATATGACGGAAATAAAATAGTACTTTTTTCCTATTAAAGCTTTAAGTTTTCGAAAACTGTAATCATGCGCTCAGATATAAGAATCTTCTAAATACACTCACTTCCAAAAGTTAAGCAAGAAGATGTAAAATGCAAAAAAATCAACAAATACTGCTTTGATTGACACAAAATTTGGCAGTAAAGTAGCATATATATTTATACATAAAACAAAATCAATAATTATACATAGAAATGAAAACAATAATAAATTTTTGTAAGTTATCAGATAACGTCATATTGGAGACTTAAACAGAATTATGTATAAAGTGAAAATAAACAGCATAAAATGAAAAAAAGGACATTAATAGGGTATGTGATCCCTCCTCATCTGTAAGCAAAGTTTACACCTTCTGGCCATGCTTTCAATTAGATGGTCAACCACAGCAGAATTAAGCAACCGCCATTCTTCTTGCAGACCAGTTTCCAGCTCAATAAGAGTGGCTGAAGGTGGGAAACGTGAAGATACAGCACGGCCGAGAACATCCTAAATATTTTCATTGGGATTAAGGTCGGGCGTATATGCTGGCCACGCCATACGCACAATCCCTTCACTCTCCAGGTAGTCATCGACGATGTCAGCTCTATGGGGGCGTGCGTTATCGTCCATTAAAACAAATGTAGGGCCAATTGCTGCAGCATACAATCTCACAATGGGTTCTAGGACTTCATCTCGATACCAGACAGCCGTCACAGAACCCCGTTTAAAGATGTGCAGGTAGGAGCGGTATCCTAATGAAATCTCGGCCCACACCATAATGCTTCCGCCTCGGAACGCGTGATGTTCGGTGATGTTTTGGGGCTGATTGCGTGTTCCTTGTTTACGCCATATCCTTATACGCTTGTCATCTGGCTCCAGAGAAAATCTTGACTCATCAGTAAACATGACATTGCCCCAGTCAGACACAGTCTAATTGCCATATTCCCGGCACCACTTTAATCGTGCTCCTCTTGATTGGACGGATAGAGGAACACAAACTCGACGTACCCGGGCATACAGTCCATTCATATGTAATCTTCGGCGTACAGTAGCTGCAGATATAGCCTTACCAATGGATGCTGTAACCATAGATGTCACACGTGTGGAGGTCGCTCTGTGATTCCGCTTGGCTACAGTAGCAATATATCGATCTTCCGCGGAGGTTGTAACCCTTGGGCGACCACCTACAGGCCTTCGGACAACTGTCTGTGTGGTTTGGAATTGTTTCCATAAACGTGAAATAACAAAATGATGAAAAGAGCAACATCTCTGATCGACTGCCCTGCTTCAATGCGCCCCACAGCACACCAGCGTTCAGAATCTTCCATTCGTTTTCTGGAAGTCATAGAAACACGTATGTCTTGAAAAAAAATTGTATGAAAGTTTTAAACACCTTCTATCAGCACATACAATCAACTTCTGTAACCATTCATAAAGCTGGCTTCTTATAAGACTGCCCTTTTTGCATATTTCCTGACATGAAAGCATGATTGGCTGTTACCTAACATATTTGCATACTTCCATCCACCTCTGCAGCGAATTGCATCCTCTTCAATTCTGTTTGGCTTCCGGAAATTAGCATTTTCCTCTCTGAGTTTAACTTTTGGAAGTGAATGTACTTCTTTTTAAAATATAATGAAACCATATTTCTGTCAGTGATATTGAAAATTCTGGACTTCAAAATTAAGTTTTTTCTCTAAAAAAGAATAACAGTTCTGTATGTGGGCTAAAATTTACCTACTTAAAACCTGAGGCTGAATTTGTTCACTTTTTATTCATTTATTGTATTAGAATTTGTTGATGTTGGTTTCCGGTTGTTTCTTGTAGTCAACCCAAAGATCCTTTATAATTTTGAACCAACTTCAAACGACGAAATCGAAGAAACAGTTGGCAACATACTTTCCACATCCATGTTCCGACCGTACATTTTTGTCTACAACTCTGTAGTACTTGTAATATTAGCTCAAAAGTGTGTTGCGGTACACCCCCTATACAAATAATAATGTTTTATGTGTTACATGTGTTAATAATATGTATAGATTTGTTTTAAATATATCACCTACATCTGTGTTCATGTATCAAGCAAATACTGACTTTTTCAATTCCTACACTATTAGCTCGCATTCTGTGTCTCTCTTTCAATATATATATATATATATATATATCTTGTTCAAATTTTCAGTCGCTAATAAAATACTTTACTTCATCCAATTAAGTTCAAATACACTTTTTAAAACTTGTAGTGGATGACACTTGATGTTAAAACAGTTTTTTTAAATATTAACTTATTAATCAAATTAATTACCGGTTTTTGACGCTAACTTAGATTCGTCTCCATTGTTGTAACTGTTAAAACTGTGACAAAAAAGTTGGTGTCGAAAACCGGTTTATCAGCCAAACTAGTCAAACCGGGCGTGCATTGTTAAAACAATGCACACAAACCATGCTTTTTTTTCAATTCCTACTATTTTAGTTCACTCTCTTCCCATATATATATATATATATATATATATATATATATATGTATGTATCTTGTTCAAATTTGCAATTTTTAATAAAATTTTTTCTATTCATCCATTTAAAGTAGGAATTGACTTAAAAAAAGTTGTTTATATTGCTTGTTGGTATATTAAATAAAACACATTATGTGTTTAAATCGTAGTTAAGAACGGACAATGAGCTAAATACATGACAGGTCACGTGATAAATGTATTCAAGTGCTTACCTTTGAAGTCAAATCTGGCCTCAGACTTGTATACGTGTTTTTATTCTTTTAAAATTTATATACAATTTCAAATTTGATGGTTCAATTATTGAGATTCCATATAAAAAGTATTTTTCATCATTTAACAAAAAATTCAAATACGCATACTTTAAAAGTTCATTTTGTTTACCTGTAGTCGTTACTTTTGTTGACAGATGCATACTTTTAAAAAGGAAATTTCTGTAAAAAGCAAATGTTGGCGACAGGGAAGCACGAGAACTGATTGGCCGAGAACACGTTATTGCATGTATCACATGACGAGGATATCACATGAATTTAGCAGATTATTAATTTCGGTACAGGCGTTCTATTCCGTTGATTAATTTCATCAAATCAAATGATGCCAACAAATGCCGCGATGTATAGCCAATAAGTTCCACTGCTCGGCACATGTTTAAACACAATTATAATGATGATGACAGCATTTGACGACATTTTTTGAATGGGTGACGTCTTTTGATTCGACTAAATTGATCGACGGTATAATACGCAAGTACCCTAACTTATTTTCAAACAGATTTATAAGATATTTTTTAAAGTGCTTTTCATAAATACACGTGTCGTTCATCCAGTATAGTGGTTATCAACGCTGACTGTTGTGTCGTAAGGCCTGGGTTCGAATTTCATAGAAGGCATGGATGTTTGTACATGTATAGTGCCTTCGTCGCAAGGGGGTACTCTAAATAGCCATTGAGACGCAAGTCTTCTCGTGAGGTTGGTGGAAGGGGAAGAGGGTAGGAGGCCCCTGACCACTTCCAGGGTGTTCTCCCTCTATATTGGAGTGGAACATGATGCTCAAAACTATGGCCAACGATAGGCATACATCTAGCCTCTTGCCATGATGAATTTTCTGAACCTGGATCTGACGCAGTTGAGATCAAGTGGCATAAGAAACAACAACAATAAATACACATAAAACGAATTCTTTCTTAGATTAAGAAATAATTTAAAAAATTTAACCTTTAAGAAATTTGAAGCTGTTTAGTTCTTGTAAGGATTAATAAGTTTTAGCAAAAAATTAGTAAAACTTACAAAGTGTCTTAAGCAAAATGTTTAAATATAAACCCGAGAGATAAACTAAAATGAAGTTTAATAATAAGAATAGGAAAAGAAGTCGGTAAATAACGTTACTATAAAACTTTACCCAAAAGAAACAATTTGGAAAAAATATTTTACTTTGCCACATAGTTTTTAAGATTTTATTTTCATACCACAAAGGATTTATTTTCATACCATCAACAATTTGCTAAGAATATTATAAACCAGAAATAAATGTTTTGGAAGAAAAAGTACAAAAGAGAAAAAAAGAAATTCTACTAGATGCACATACAATATAAGAACAATTTTCTTCCGATACATTTTTTATAAACAAACAAAAAGTCAAATTCTACAATAGATTTTAAAATAGTTTAAAAAGAAAACTTTCGTATATTTGAAGTTGTGCTTCGTATCTAGGGAGGCTTAAAGTACAACGTATTGATCTCTGTACGATACTCGAAGAGAAATTGGTGAATCGAAAACCATACTATGGGATATTAAATCGTCTGATTTATTTTTATACCAGGATACTAAATAAATCTTTTACTTGAAGCTCACATTTTTTCTCACGTATTTATTGAGTTGAGAGGAATTTGTGTGTGTGTGAATACATTAATTCTACAGCACTATGTCTATTTTTGCTGTATGTTAAATTTAATATTAAGCAAAGCCTATTGATGCTATTTTATAATTTCCAGAGATATGCGTCATTGAGCTCTTTTTTTGAAATTTTAAAAATAGTTGAGATGAACTCATCCATATGTAGTTTGTCTTACTTCTTGGTCCTATTTTATTATGTGTGTGCGTAAATAATTCCTATTCTAATTTTCATGTAAGAGCTTTCATTTAGCTTATTTTGGTCCTGGA